TTTTTTTTTTTTTTTTTATTGTACTAGGGATTGAACTTGGGTCCTTGAGCTTGCAAGGCAAATGGCAGAACCACTGAGCTAAATCCCTGGCTCATACTAACTAAGTGCTGTCTCTTAAGACGGTCCTGGGTTTGGGGTCAGGGTAAGGGGACCTCCTAGAAATTTATTTTCTGTATCATTTAGTTTGGGACTTTTCTGGAGGCCAGTGTCTTAGCCAGCACAGAACAGCCAGCCACAGCAAAGCCAAGAGTGGTATGGAGTTAGTATCATTGTGCCCTGTGCCCAGTCACCCAGCCCAGGGTGGCCCAGGGGAGTGGAGTGGGTGGCTCACTGAGGTCTGAAGCATTCAGTGAAATGACCAGGCCTGAAGAGAAGGTGGGCAGCCTCCTGAGATGGGCTCTGGGGCCAGGGAGGAGGACCTGTGAGAGATCAGGTCAGGGTACCGGACACGGTTTCTCTCGGTCTTCCCAAAGGATAAGCAGCCAGGAATATGTGATGTCCGGTTTCTGAGGATTCTCAAGCTTCTTTAGTGGGTTGTGAGTTGAAGAGCTTGTCGTAGAAGGTCCTGGTGGACACAAAGGTCTCCTCCCAGCTGTGTTCAGAAGGTGGTACTCATTGCCTTCGTCACATTTTGGTCAGTCGCACACACCTCCCTCCTTGTGTACGTGCGTGTGTGTGCATTCATGGCTGTGTGTGTGTGCACCACTGGAAGGTAGAGCAGCAGCATGGCCAGCAAGTCCGCGATGGTTCCAGTGAGGGCTGGGCTTTTGGTTCTCCCTCTCGCCCTTTGCTGTGCTGCTCCCCTCCTCAGTCTTCCTTTTGCTTTCTCCACCTCTGACTCTCGGCTGCTTGGCGTTTGTGCAGCTCCCTTCTCTGTGCTCCTCTTTTCTCATGGGAGACGAGAGTCTGCCTCTGTCTCACTGTCCTACCAACTGCCAAGCCGTGGCAGCTCTTGCAGGCCCTGCGTGGGGTAAATCCATGGGGACATGAAGGAGGGCAGGAGGGGCCTTCTGGTGAGGGCGCCACCCTCCAGTGCATCCCAGTGCCTGTGGAGAGCTGAGGTGAGCTCCAGGGGTGAGGGAAGAGGCCACGCTTTCTTGCCCATCCAGAGACAGATGTAGGTAAGTGTTGAGAAGTCCCTGGTCCAGCTGTCAGTGCCCACAGGGATTCTGGCTGGTCCAGCCTGGGAGGTCAGGGCATCCTGTGGGGTTCAGGTAGAGCTCAGCAGGGTCCCTACCAGATTGTGGGCTAAAGTCCCCAGCAGGACCTCAGGGCCTTCTTGTCTGCTCTCTCTAGGACTGCCCCTCCTACCATGGCTGCTTAGAGCCTGGCTTCTGGGCCCTGGGAGCCTCGCAGAGGCATTGCTCCTCTGTTCTCTCCTTGCTAACTCAGCCTAAGCTACTGTTGCTCTGTCATCATGCACCAGTATTATCTTCCTTTTTGGTTGGAGGAAATGGCCTACATGCTATTCATTTCTCTGTTCCCTGCATAAGAATCTGGCCTTGTACCTTCTTGCCTGTAGTCTGTCACCAGGTTTGAACATGGAGTACGATTATATAATAGATTTACAAGAGATTTGGTGACCAGTTTTTTTTTTCTGTATCTTAGGGGGCCCCCACCAAGGCTGCCTGGGAAATGCACAAGCTCATTATTTAATCCTCTTGTTCTGCTGGTCCCTTTACAACTGCAAACCAGTTGTTGGCTAGTGGGGAGCTGGCCACAGCTCTGGTGCTGAATCCATTGGCCCTGTGATGGGTTGCTATGTGGAGGAGACAGAAGCTTGAGGTGATTCTGTCAGCTGCCATTGGAGGGCCAATCAGAGGTGAACTTGGCACCACCAAGGTCCCTGGTGAGGACTTTTGGATTTACAACCCCACCCAGCTCTTTGGGACCTTGGCTGTATGGTACAGGAATCACAGGTGCGTCCTGGCCTAGGTAAGTGCAGGGAGGGAGCAAGTTGTCCAGGATTGGAGTGGCTTCACCTTCTAGCGATTTTAGGACCTGCTGCCCACTTGGAGTCCAGGAACAGCCAGCCCCTCTGTCCAGTTAATTGAATGTCACCTGGCACCTGCTTTCAGACAGCACACATGCAGTGGGGCTGCAGAGAGAACGTGAGGCGGGCAGGAGGGCAGGCAGTCCTGGGAATGCCTCATGCTCAGCTTCAGAAATCATAACTGCGGCAATCTTGTGAGAAGGATGCCAGGTCTCATGCGCTTGAATTTGCCCATTAGACCTCAGAGTGCTCTCAGCTGTGGGGTTTGGAGGACGTGGGTCAGAGCCAGGGAGAATCCTTTCTCCATGCTCCTTGAAGAAATAGAAAAAAGAAAATGATTTTTTTTTTTTCTTTCCAGCAGCTGCCTCAGCTGTGTTGGAAGGCAGGGCGGGGCTCCCTAGCCTCGCTGCTCAGCACTGTGCTTCCAAGTCCCTAGGTCAACGTGACCCATGACACGGGGCAGGACCACAGCTCTGCACAACCCCGGTGATATCCTCCATTTGTATTCTGTTTTTCACATCAAGATGGTGGTGTGATGAGTGACCTCGGAGGTGTGTGAGGTTGGGAGAGGATGGGGAAACCAGGGGTCAGAACTTCACCTTCAGCCAGAGAGCTGTGGTAATACTGAGGACAGACAGCAGAGGGCAATGTTGGTACATACCCAAACAAAGAAGTATCGCTTGGAGGTTGTACTCTGTGGTTGTTGCATTTGTTTTTTTTTGGCCTATTGAATTTTGTCTTGCTTAATAATTGACTGAGTTTTGCTGTTCTTTGTTGATTTTGCTTCTTGGGTTCTTGGCTTTCTTTTTCAAAAGGAAATAAATTTCTGAGGCCCAGCAGGAGAGTCCACACTTGTGGACTAATACAGAACAATGGGGCTGATTTGCTCTGACTCTAGTGGGGGCATCAGGAGAGACCATTCTTCCTGCAGAGGATGTTCCAAGGCCTATTATAATTTGAATGTTGAACTGAGGGGCCAGCAGCTGCTTGTGTCTTTAGGCCATGTGCCAGAATGTCCCATTTCTCCTAGCAAAGGGGCCAGGGGCTGAGGAGAGTAGGGATTTGGGAGCAGGGCTTCAGGGTCTCCTCCTCATCACCAGCTAGGT